CATTTGCATATGTTTTCCATTAAGATGGTGTTGCAGCGAATGAAAAAGATGGTAATCTGATGGTGCCATATCTGGAGAAGATATGGTGGGGGAGAACTTCCCAACCCAACTCCATAATCTTGTGTTGCGTAAAAAGTGCCACATGTGGACATGCATTGTCATGGAGAAGAAGAACACCTTTCCAACTGACAAGTGAAGAGCGTTTCCAATGAAAGGCTTGATTTAAACATTCCAGTTGCTGACTATAGATCTCTGCATTGACAGTTCACTGTGGATTGAGGAGTTCGAAATGAATTACTCCTTTGATGTCCCAACAAATGCAAAGCATCACTTTCTGTGGATCGAGTCCAGGTTTTTGGGTCGGAAGTGGTTTTTGTCTAGGACTGAGCCATTGTTTTTGACATTAAATATTCACAAACAGAATCCATTTTTCATCACCAGTTTCTCTTCTTGTATTCAAACAGCATTACATGCCAATTGTGTGCATCATCACTATAAGGGATTAGAGTATACTAAACTTTACACATTATATAGGTTACACTAACGTGACATTTAGGTGGTTCGTTTAACTATTATACATGATGTAAATTGTTTGGGTGGTGGTTAATGAAAGTGCTCCAAAACACGACTTTAATTTCTTGATGCCTAATATATATAAACACACACACACAAAGCAATAAAAAAAAAAAGACTTGTAACATGCACAGCCTAGAACTACATTATCTAAATTTATATGGTTTTTCATAAAGTTTGTCATTTTAACTTATAGTACACTTAGAAGTATACTTGTTTCACATGAATATCAAACTGTCATTATTGTTCATGTTACATGTTGAGCTTCCAAACAAAATAATAGATCGTGAACACATCTAGAGCTTATTGTTATTATAACTACAATACTAGGTACATTCTCTGCTTACAAACTACTACTTGTTTATAGAGCTTCAATGTAATGTTACTAACCAGATTTCATCAAAAACACAGGGCTATATTTCTTTCATGCAAGAAACAAAACAAAGACTTATTTCAAAATATATAGTTTTGTTCTCCAAATTGAGACAAGTAGATGCACTAGTCCTTACTTCTTACTTTATAAAAAAAAACAGGGCATACCTTCACAATTCTTTCTGTGTTTGTAAGTATATCAACTTTCAGAACATTAAAAGCAGAGAGTATTCCCTTCTTCAAGTTTACAGAGTTCTCTTTCTCCTTGCTGTTTGTGAACACCTCACTTATGCCATGCTCATCCAATAAGAAATACAGAGGATATCTAAAATTTGTCATAAACTAATGTCAATGAAATATCTACAAAAAAACCTTAATCTGGTGCACAACATTTGGTACTTAAAAAAAAACAGTTGTGTTTATCATTTCTTAAAAACTGTGTATTTCTTGAAAAAATGAGATTAAAGACTACATCACAGTTTAATTTCTGAATACGTACAGACAAACCTGAGTAAATTTTCATTTAGTATATTAATTTAATGAAAACAAGTCTGGAAGACTTATATAGCAAGAGCGTCATTAACAAAACTATTTCTTCGATCATTTATTCAAAAACATTTACCATCACAGTTTATGAACAATCATAATCAAAAGGAAATAATATGCTATAGGAAAAACTATAATCAGTTACTGATGACTGACTGATAGGAAAAAAAGTTGAACAGGCTTTTACATAGCACAAGACAACACAATGCATCCCAACTGACCAATAAATTCACTAGTGCTTGGTCAAGATTCAACAATTTCCACCTGTAACATAACATATGGACAACAATGAACCCATTTGTTCATTCAAAGTTGTCCTTGCACACCTACCCCTTGTTGAACTCACTACTACTGATGGTCACTTATTCTATTGTGGAACATAAGCATACCATATTTTTTATACCTCCTTGTATTAATACATAAATTTTTTGAAAATTTTTTACTTTTACAAGTACCTGCATTGTGGAATATAAGCATACCATATGTTTTCTACCTCCTTGTATTAATACATAAATTTTTGAAATTTTTTTACTTTTACAAGTACTTGCATTGTGGAATATAAGCATACCATATTTTTTATACCTCCTTGTATTAATACATAAATTTTTG